ATCTATCTCCGCCAATTTTGTTTTGAGTTTTCTTATTTCATCAGTGGCATCTTGAAATTCTTGTTCTAATAATCTTTTAGCAACGTCTAAAACTTTCCGAGTGTTTTCTTTGAATGTGGTTCCAGATATAATAGAGGAGGCGGTAATCCCATATAGCTACTAAAGTTACGCATTGCGCGACGACCCTTTCCAATGTCACGAGCCGCGATCACCAGCTTACGATTCACATAAAAAAATGTCCACTCTTTTTTGACTATAATATGAGCTCAGGTCACTTTCATTTAGATATCTTTTAACGGCGTCGGAAATTTTTCGGCGGCCAGTTTTTTTTATCTTAGAACTCCTTCCCATGATATATTAGGTTATTAAAACACCGAGAAAAGCTTGAAATACTATAGTGTAATGTTTGTTTGTGCTTCGATAGCGTAACGGATTACACAGGATAAGCTGGATGGTCAACAAATCAGTATGCAAATTAAATCCTTTGTTTTCGGTCTGTCATTCAACATGATATGTAAATGCATGAAGGACGTGTTCACCTACAACTAAGTTTCCGGGAATAAATTGAAATTACTCAACAAATGCATCGCGCACTTTAAATTCGGACCAAAGATAAAGAAAGTACACAATATAAGGTTGCATAATCCAGGATTTTTAGAGAAAAGTTTTTTTCTTTTAGTTTTTCCCCTCTTGCTACCTTAACGAATGGTTTTACCAATATCGATTTTATATATTTGACATCACCCTGGCAGTAAAAATATGGGTGCTGTAATTTCTAGGCCACATGTTCATTTTTAATCAGGGGTGTTATCATCTCACGGTGACCTGCTACGTTAACAAGCCCAAATTTTCACAGTTGTACCTTAAGAAAATGAACCAGTCACCCTGGTGCGGCGCCCTGTTAAAACCCCTTGTGGAGAACCCTGACAATGCTAAAGACCTGATTACCTAATTTGCGTAATATGTGTACTGATTACTGATTGTCTCGTGTCCAGTAATATTCTCTACTATGCAAATTGCTTTCCTACATGTATGTCGTACAGTGTATGCATGTGTGTGTCTTAGGTTAACCTAATTTGATTTCATCTTTGATTTCATAAACACGTTGTTTTTTCTTGAGTAGCGTAAACTGATTGTGAACTCCGCTTTACCCTTGTTATATCATGTTATATTCAATCTAAAGACTGAGTCTATCGTCAGAAAGTATTTACTTCCAAAGAGGTGCTAATTTTACCAAATTACTACCACATCGTGCGACTATTACTACGTTCACGTTACGGGATCTCGGCACGTGCCGAAATTGTTAATCTTTTGTGTATGCAGAGGGATTACAGCAGTTGCGTTCACATTATTCAGCACCCACTTAGGACCGACTCGGCTCGTGCGGAAATCATGCCCTCATTCGTCGATCTGTTATTTGGCCCAAACATGGAAAACGATACGCATATGATGATGATAATAATTACTATAGTGAAATTATATCCATTTGTTGCTATGGTGTCTATTACGAGCCATCGTGCACATGAACGGCATAAATGATTCGAAAAACAATTATTTTTTTTCACGTCAATGTTGCAAGAAAATAGCGGTTACAGCTGCACATAAATATGTGTCACTCGCTGACGACGGTTTGCATTCATTTCATTCATTACTACAGCCTCCAACCATATACTAGTATATCTGTTTTTCCTGTCATCGTCATTTGCATACTAGTATGAATCAGCCTATGTTTTCTTAAATTTACCACCGAGGGCATGATTTCGGCTTGTGTTGAGCGTTCAGGCAGCAAATCTCGGCATGTTTCGTTCCCAAGCATCAATCAGGATCGAGTTCTTTTAGGCATGTGCTGACTCGGTCCTGACCGTTCACACATAAGTTTCGGTCCCGAGTCTCTGCATGTGCCAAGATCTCTTATGTGAACGCCACTTATGTCTATCTTTACAAATTATTATCCATGACTGGCGGATGCACTTTGGTCGGTACATAATTAAAATAACAATAGGACAATAGTCCTGGTCGAAAGCGTTTCTGTGGTGGTAGCTAATTTTGGGTGCCGGTTTTGTACTTTATTTTCGTAATACAGTGCACTGGATGAACAATGAAAAAAGCACTGTGGCGGTCTTGCTAATAACGGTGGCGATGTCAGACCAGTGTGACGGCAAATCGAAGCACTGTGGCAGGACTGCCACGCTGTTTACATCTTGGGGAGAACACTGCAGTTTTTAGCTATGTATGTACCTGGGGTAGACCTCTCTTAGATTTGTTCATTTCATGATGATATCTTCAATTCTCTAATTTTGGTGAATATTTTTGTAATTTTTAGTAAAAAGTGATATTTTCGACTTCTTGTTAAAAACCGCAAGTCCAATTGCTTTGATATTACATATATAGATGCTACATGTGGACCTTTCTGAGATTTGTTCATTTCGTGATGATATCTTAAATTTCTTAATTTTGGTGAATATTTTTGTCATTTTTGGTAAAAAGTGATATTTTCAACTTCTTGTTAAAAACCAAAAGTCCGATTGCTTTGATATTACATATATAAGGTACTACATGTGGACCTTTCTCAGATTTGTTCATTTTGTGATGATATCCTCAATTCTCTAATTTTGGTGAATATTTTTGGTAAAAAATGATATTTTCGACTTCTTGTTAAAAACAGCAAGTCCAATTGCTATACATACTTATACATATTGTTCATTTTCTGATGATATCTTCATTTCTTTAATTGAAATGTGCATTGCTAACAGCGGAGCTATCTCAGCCGAGAGGCTGCTTGTTTTATCTTTATAGTAATAAATGAAATTATCTCTTATCATGGGATCTGTGATCTATGAATTTGCTCATTTTGTAACAATATCTGAACCTTGAAGGCATTCTGGTAAAGCAGTTGAGCACAACCTTGTAAATAGCTTTGTATTGACTCGAAAATATTAAATTGAGAATTCTGCAAATCAATGATAGGACAAAGACAACATTCCTGGTTTTTAAGCAGTATCGGGGTATATATATAGTATAAAAATGTCAGGCTAACAACATGAATAACAAATTTGTTGGTGGATTATTGAGTAAAGTCTTTTCCAATCACATTATGATCGTCATTTTTATTTTTCAGCCCTGGGCATCGAACAAGACACTCCCGATTATGACATGGATTCGGATGATGAAGTCTGGATGCAAAAACAGTCAAAAACTTTAGAAATTAATCCATTGCAATTTGAAGAAATGATGGATCGTCTTGAAAAGGGCAGTGGGCAGCAGGTAATGTGTATATTACAGACCCAAACAGTTTATAAAAGATCCTTAACTGAAATGAATAATTGCTTTTAATGCTAATAAAAAAGTTAGTGCTATAGCAACACATGTTTGCTGACCTGGAATTTAAACTACACACTAAATGACAAATGCAACAAAACGTGCACGCCCCTAATTCCGGCTTCAGGGTTTAAAGAGTTCTTAACAAAACTTGAAAACATGAAAAGTACCTATTACTAACCGCACCCCCAATTCAACAAGACCGGATGACTTCCTTGTTTCAACGCTGTCCAAAACGGCATTGTTCCTAATCCTATTCATTTGTTTCAACAAGGTGCCTACGAATATTCACACCTATTTATTGTTTAGTGGTGATCAATCTTTGTCAATACACCTTATGTATACATTCGTGTTTCGTATTTTTTCGATAATAAGCTGTTATCATCGTAAAAGTATTCTTCTTCAATGCACAGTTTATATTTCTAAAACAGCTAATTTCTGATTTAAAAATAAAATCATGCAGTTTTCCCATCAAAATCAAAGCCAAAATCAGTAAATCTCTTCTGTGTTGCGTTCATTATGAAGTCGCTGAACTGTCATTAACATATTTAAATGAGCTATGGTAATTCGAACACGTTGGCACCGTCCAGTATTTTGATTGGTTAATTAGCGACTTGACCTCTCCGGTCAATAAACACGTCTCGTGTGCATTCCAAAAACATAGTGGATACAGGGTTCGACACACACGCTGATCCTGTGGTCCGAGTCTAGTAATTTATTGCCAGGACCAGGAGAAATGCTAAAATGCTAGTCCGACGGACGACTGTTAAAATCCTAATATAAACCGCGGTTTATATTACAATGTATCAAATAAAAAACAACAGCTCAAGTTCGGGGTGTGGTTTCTATTACGTACATATTGCAATCACTAAATGGACGTGGTCATTTTTTCCCTACATCACTTGCACAAAACAAACAATACACCGTACAATCTTTTGAATATAAGTGTAACTTCAATTTAGATGTTCACATAAAAAAAAATACTTGGTATATTTAATGTAATATGCATTTATTTTTTTAGCTCTGCTGTCGACTTTGTCGAGCGGAGCTTATCATATGAGTGATTGTCCTCCTTGTCGGCGTCCGCTGTCGTCCTTGTCATTGTCTTACTTTTTCGACTTGTGGATCATGTGGATCTCTCTCAGATTTGTTCATTTTGTAATGATATTTTTGGTGAATATTTTTGTCATTTTTGGTAAAAAGTGATATTTTCGACTTATTGTTAAAAACCGCAAGTCTAATTGCTTTTATATTACATATATATGTACTACATGTGGATCTCTCTCAGATTTGTTCATTTTGTAATGATGTCTTCAATTCTCTAATTTTGGTGAATATTTTTGTCATTTTTGGTAAAAAGTGATATTTTCGACTTCTTGTTGAAAACCGCAAGTTCGATTGCTTTTATATTACATATATACGTCCTACGTGTGGACTTCTTTCAGATTAGTCCCGTTGCTTTTTATATATATATATATTGTTCATTTTCTAATGATATCTTCAGTTCTTTAATTGTAATGTGCATTGCTAACAGCGAAGCTATCTCAGCTGAGAGGCTGCTTGTTAATTTTCTTCGTAACGGAAAGCATATTCTTTTCAAAGTTTCAAATAAAAACAAACACTAATGCATTGCTTAGTAGAATATGATCATGGTATGGCACTAAAAAAGTACGTCACTGTGGGTACGGTGACGCAATCCGGCCATGCTTCATCTCACAAGTGAATAACTTACTTGTTTTCGAAGTGTTGAAATTGTTGATTATTACTCAGTAGTGATTATAATAACGCACGAAAAATAAATTCGTTGAATTGTTATCAAATGCAAGTAAAATTCAACTTAGTTTCACCGTAAGCGAATTATTCGGTCACATGTAAACGATCGATGCGATGCGACATCCGCCATGTAGTTCGAATGCACACGAGACATTACTTGACTGGATAGGTCAAGTCGCTAATTAACTAATCAAAATGCTGGATGGTGACCACTTGTTCAAATTACCTTAGTTCATTTAAATATGTTAACGACAGGTCACCGACTTCATGGTGAACGAAACAAAGAAGGAATTTACCGATAATGTAGAGCGATCTTTTGGCTTTGTTGTTGTTGTTTTTGAAAGATGAACTGAGAATTGAAAAAAATTTAAGTTTTTCGGTGATAACAGCTCATTGTCGAAAACTTGCGACACACGAACGTATTCATAAGGAGTATTGACAAAAGTTGTCGCAAAAACAAAAGCAGTTTCACTGCGTGTTTGACATCCTAACACTACTGAACAATAAAGAGGTGTGAATATTTTTAGGCACGTTGTCGAAACAAATGAATAGGATTAGGAACAATGTACCAGCTGGTTCAAACAAAGTCAGTCACGATATTGTTGAATTGGGGGTGCGGTTAGTAATAAGTACTTTTCATGTTTTCAATTTTTGTTGAGAACTCTTTAACACTGAAGCCGACATTGGATTGCGGTGACTATTACAATGTAGGTATGCGGTTTATAATAGGATTTTAACAGTACTACTTGATCGCACAAACCTAATTCATCTCTACGTGAACACCCCCATTAGAAAACGACTGCGCAACTGTTTCTGCGCACTTCAAAACTTTGGATACTTTGGGTCAGTGTTTGAGATGCGCACAAGTCGATGAGGATTCGTCCAAGGACGTTAAACTCCAGTTCAGGTTTTTAAAAAAAATAAAATAGGACCAAAAAATCATGATTTTTAGGCAGTTTTTAGCTCCGTTGTCGTCAACTTTACAATTTCAACTTCTTCTTCAAAACTGCAAGTCAGAATTTTTTCAAATTTGATATGCAAGTACCTTGGATAGTTCTTTCTCAGATTTGTTCATTTCATGTCAAAATCTAAAATTCTCTAATTTTGATAAATATTTTTGTCATTTTTGGTAAAAAGTGATATTTTTGACTTATTGTTAAAAACAGCAAGTCCAATTGCTTTGATATTACAGCGGTCAATACAATAAGTTATTCACTTGTTAATCGCAGCATGGCCGAATTGCGCTTCCATAAAATAAATGCATATTACATTAAATAGACTGAGTATTTTTTTTTTATCATGTGAGTAGTTTTTTTTTGGATTGACTATGATTTTTCGTTATGCCTATTTTAAAACCAAATTAAGGCCTTTCACTCTTCCCTGCTGCCTAAATTAGAGTGACGCCTATTCAAGAGATTGTACGGTATATTGTATGTTTTGCGCATGTGTTGTGGGAAAAATGACCACGTCCATTTAGTGGTTGCAATATGTACGTAATATAAACCGCATCCCGAACTTGAACTTTTTTATCCCAATTTTTAAATTGATACATTGTAATATAAACCATTATTTATATTAGGACTTTTACGGTAATTTGAATATTTGTAATATTGGTAATTCAGTAATATATATTGACAACCATAGGGTTGTATGCTCCCCACAATGTGATTAATGTGTTATGCAGGATAAGCTGATGTATAGTAATGTGATCAAAGTACAGATTTATTTTCATATACAAATATCTTACATGGAACCTATATTCAATGACTCATCAAATACAACAATACTTTTTACTATGGGCCTGAACTTATTTGTTTTCTCTACATGTTAAAAACTCAACTGTTTATAACCATTGATAAACAAGTGTTATTTCGCATGGTTCAGCTGGCATTCCACATCGACTGAGAAATAGTAATCAAACAGAATACACAAGTTTGCAGAGACTGATAAATGAGCAGCACAAACTATCATGCAACTTTTGACATTCCATTATTAACACAAATATATCAAATATATCATGATCAACAAAAAATGCATTGTCACTTATTACTCAAAAGTATGCAATATCACGGTTCTTCATCAACTATGTAGTGTTTCACCAATAGTATAGTCTGTGTGTTGTTCACACACTATACTTTCATTGCATGCCTGTGGCAAGAAGTCTTGTCCAAAGAGAAAAACAAAATATCTTATGAAATCATCTGTATTTGTCTTGTCATAACACTAGAAGTCAAGAAACCATGTATGTTTCACAGTGACTTGATATTTTGACTTGCGACTTGTCAAAATACTAATGTCACTCATAATTATGACTTGATGTCACATGGATTGTCCTACATGTATTCATTGTTATATGTGTGATGTTTTATCTGTAGGTGGTGACATTGCCAGAAGCCAAATTGTTACTAAAGGAAGATGATGATCTTATTATAGCAGTATATGATTACTGGTTAAACAAGAGATTAAAAGTAGTAAGTTCTACCATAAACCTTAGACCACCTGCCTATAGTGACCACCTGCCTATAGTGACCACTTTTAGACAGTTCCAAGTCATAACACATGATCAACCTGTGTATAAAGACCACATGTCTTATGTGGACCACACCCTTTGCCTTTGCCATTTTGTACCAAGTCATAACACATGATCAACCTGTGTATAAAGACCACATGTCTTATGTGGACCACACCCTTTGCCTTTGCCATTTTGTTCCAAGTCATAACACATGATCAACCTGTGTATAAAGACCACATGTCTTGTGTGGACCACACCCTTTGCCTTTGCCATTTTGTTTATAAAACAATTTTTGATTTCTCAAGCCAAACTTAAATGTTTTTGTTGCAATAGTACAATTTCATTATTTACTGAACAAATATTATGTAAAATTTGGTTTATCTATATTCCTTTCTTTCTTGTTTAATATTATATACATAGATACACTAAAGTAAAAGAAGTGACATTCTTACACTGGTTATTTATTATCTCTACAGGGTCATACTTTAATACCGTCAGTTAAACAAGAAAAAAGAGATGGTTCAACAAGTAACAATCCTTACGTCGCATTCCGGCGGCGGACGGAAAAAATGCAAACAAGGAAGAATAGGAAGAATGATGAAGCATCGTATGAGAAGATGTTAAAACTTAGAAGAGATCTCAATAGAGCAGTTACATTATTGGAAATGGTGAAAAGAAGAGAAAAAAATAAAAGAGAGGGGCTTCATCTGACTGTGGAGGTTTTTGAAAAAAGGTACTATAAAATACTTTATTTTCCCTGAACACATGATTCACTGAAAATGAAATCCAGTCATTATTCCTTTTTTTTCCCTCCTATATTTCACATTCAGCTAATCAAAAATCTGTGAAAATAATTTTTCATTTTGGGCAAATTTGTTCAACCTCACTAAGTTAATGCATGTGTTGTTCCATGTACCAATGGGAATTGTAAATAGATACTATCTGCATATATAAATGATAACATTTGCAAAGTGCAAATAAATTTCCGTAATATTCTGGACATTGTTTTATGTAAATGGTCAAATAGTTTATAGGTATAGGTGATAGGGTTGATGTGTTTCTACTACAGCAGAAATGATTATGTATTCTTGTAATAGAGTTGGCACAGTACAGTTCATCTTGTGTTATCTAAATGCAGCCATTTATATTATCTTATCAGGTTTGCAGTAGGAGACTATAGTGGTCAGTTATTAGCTGAATGTGAAGCTCTTCGAAACCAAAGACCTTCTTACTCTCTACCTACAATGAATGGTAGTCAATATATGAGGCACCATGAATCATGGGCAAGTAAAGTAGCGGTAAGTTGTAAACACACTAACATGTGTCATCACATTGTGGTGCTTGGTGTGAATTACAGTATGACAACGCATGCTGAAAGAGTATATGTAAATGAACAGTGCGATTTTATCACAGATATGAAAATTCAATAACAATAATTATTTGCACGGTGCAATAACAATGATTCATTAATTAATTTTAAGAAAAATAATATTTCTACTGATTTGAAGCTACCAGTTGTGATAAAAAGGTTATCCAGTGATATATTTTATTTGTAGAGTTGGTTGATACTTGTGTCATAAACTGTATTATTTTTTGTTTGTGGATAATACGGATGTCAACCCATGATTATCTCATATTAACACTGCCATGTATTGTGTAAAAATTTGAAATTCAAGTTTAAAATCAAATCATATTTTTGGCAGAAGGTTCGGTCCACACCTGACAAATCAACAAATCTTTAGTACCCCATTATAAATGAAATATATCACGAATATCTTGAACTGATGAACTTCTCTAATATTCTGGTGGTTATCGTTCATTGCAGGAAGAAGGTGGGGCCAGGAAAAAAAGAAAATATGAGAAACGGAAACACAAAGCTCAGAATCAAGCCAAACAGACTAGTAGTATGGTTCCTTCTTATAATGATTTGGAGTCACATTATCCAGATCTCACATCAGAAGAAGAACCCCTTTCACCAGTAAGTAAAACATAAGAATGCATGAACACGCATAATTATTAAAACATTCCACAATAGAACATGTATAAATGCATAGGGAGAAAGCTAATTACCAAATATTATTTACTATTATATTTATTGGTCAAATTTATCAGTTCAATCAACATTTATTTATTAGTCCCCATTTGGACGAAGTCAGAAAAAGGGGACTTATAATTTGGTCTCCATGCGTCTGTCTGTGCGTCCATCTGTCCGAAGTCATATTTCAGAATCCTTTGGACAGATTCTATTCATTCTTTGCATGTGCCTAGTACTTTATGTGGGACATTTGCACATGCAGTGGTTTAGTGATTTGATTCAAAATGGCCGACTGGCAGCTATCTTGTTTTTTGAAAATGTTGTATTTTGGACATGCTTTGTCAATTTTCATTAAAACTTAGTACATAGATTATACATGTTATGATACATGTCCATGACAATTTTGATCGCAATTGGATAAAAGATGGCAGACTGACAGCCATCTTGTTTTTTTTAAATGTGGTATCTTGGACATGCATTGTCAGTTTTCATTCAAATTTGGCACATACTTTATACATGTCACTTTGTTTCATAATCAGATCAAACATGGCCGAATAATGGCCGTTTTTATTTTTGGCCATATTACTATATTTCCGTCACCCATGTATCATTTTCCTTGATATTTAGCATGTTATAAATGGATACATGTACATGTCAATTCAATTTGAAATTTGATCAAATATGGCCGACTGTTTAAAATGTGATAACTTGGACATGCTTTCACTTGTGATCTACGTTTTTCTTTGCTATGTCTTAAACCGGAGGGGTCATCACGCAACATGTGTTCGAATTTGATGTAAATAAACAATCTGTTGTATACGCCACTTTGGACTCAAAGTTTCAAGGACACGCTCGCGACAACCCCTCCACTTTAATATGACGAGCACAAAGAGAACTTTCAAAAATAAAATTTTCAATGACTTGTTTACTACAAAATAGAAAATATTTATTGTCGGGGCGGACATCCAGGCATTTTCACCACCTGGCAACCATCATGTTTTCAACAAAGGCCGAAAACTCTCAAAAAACTGTTCTTTTGCGATAGTAGTTGAGACTCCCCTGAATAAGGGTAACAAGATTAGCCCTACATGTACATCATATAGAAATTTGGTTGCTCAGGACTACTTCCAAGTTCAGTTTGTGCTGTTTCCTGGCCTTTAGCTGTTTTCTGTGAGGTAGCTCCGCCCCCGAGAATAGAGACAAGTGCAGAATTTGTTTTTAAATTTCTTGCATGACAATTCTGTCTGTAACGTTTGGAGTAATGTTTTGAAGTCAACCCAGACAAGCGTTGTTTGTAACAATGAACTGTAAGATGCACTCAGTTCTAAATATAAGTTTTTCATTGTTTATTTCATCAGGTGCAATCTCCGTCAGACCATGAAGATGAAAATGATCCTGATGGTCACTTTGCTTTTAGAAGGAAAAAAGGTTGTAATTATTATGCGGTAAGTAGCTTTTGAATTGTCCATCTATCTGGACTTGTGTTGCTGTAGCAGGAAAACCTTGATTTAGTGCATCTTCCAGTCTACAACCCAAGAGCACATGTTGAATCCCTGGGAATGATGGCTGGTCTTTGATCCAAGAAAATTAGGGACTAGTCTGTAATCATTCAACTTGAGTGTGCTTGGTGTTTGTAAGAATGACGCCTAGCATAAGAATATTAAGCATAGCTACCAAAGTGGAGGTCAATATACAGTTCTAATTACCAAAAGACGTATTTATTGACTGCTGACCGAAACTGAATATTGACCGATACTGAGGTAACTGTATGTTTTATTATACAAAATAAATTAAAGCGTGGTGGTCGTCGTGCAGCACGTGTTCGAATTTCATGTAAATAAACAATGTACTTTACACGCGTTGTATACGTCGCTATGAGTCCCATATCGAACAGGACGCGGCGCGAAGACTGCCACCCTTTAACTCAATTTAAGGTAGAGATGCAGTTTATTTGGCTTGCTTTTTAATTGAGTAATTAGACAATGAAGATGGTATTATATGTCCAACATGTTATATATTTTCTGAAAGCTTATTATACAAACTTTGTAAAACTTGTCTTTATTTTAAATATCCAGAATGCGTTTTTGATTTTGGGTCAAAAATATGCTTTTTTGGACAAAAGTGGTTTAAAAAAAATTAGCTTAAAAACGTCAAGTCCGTTTGTGGGTAAAATTACATCACTGGATACCTTGGTATACTACTAATTCAAATGCGTCCACTCATCTCTCTAACGGCTTTCAAAGTCGCACAGCATGACCTCAAAGTTCACTCTTTTCAATTTTTTCATAATTTATATATCCATGTTAATTGCGAACTTATTTTTGTTCCACTCGCCGTAATAAACTGTCCGGACACATTTTGAAGGGGGAACACCTTGTCAATTATGTGTGAAAATTTCGAGGCAAATGGCCAAAGCGTCTATCAGCTATTTTAATTTAAAACCCAAGAATTCACCAAAAATAGAAGACTAGAAAAAGGCTAATTTGCATATTTGCACGTTAAACCGGGAATTACTGCTTTGTCATACTTTGTCATACTTTCTAGACTATTGAAATTGAAAGTTAACGTATAGACATAGACATTTTATGTAAAATCGTTGGACCAGAACAACTGCTCTTGAATATATAAATCAGAAACACGTCATTTATACCAGTGTTTTGATGCTAAACAGTGTGCTCATTAGTTTAAAAAAAATGGAATGTCCGACAAACTGACGTAAACTAACCCATTTTTCACGAGAAGAGCAAAGGTCGTTACCGAATTGCAGGCTAAAAAACTCAAAAATCAAAACAAAATCATCAATCAGTAAGTATTATGACAAGGAAAACAAAACATCAGACGCGGAGAAGCGGTCAGCGCGTCAAAAGAGTTGTTAATGTATCAAGTTACCTCTCTCTGTGATTTATTTTTCATTGAAATTATTTGGTTGTTTTCAATTAATTTTAGCGTACCTCTGCAATTTATTTTAGCATTGTCAGTTGTTTGCTTCATTGAATTAAACGGAGTTCGTCCGGTTGCAAACAAAACTGTCTCGCACCACCTAGCAAAACTTGCGAATGATCGAAGTACAGGTACCCATTGGACAAAAGATACACGAAAGTTTGTATCTCCCCGACCCAGTGCAATATATCCGGTTAGAATCAAAGCTCACGTGTCCCTTATTCAAATAATTCAGATTCTGCCGTAAATTCGGGATGGGATTTAGAAAAAAATAAAATAGGACTTTTAAGGTGTATTTTGGAGTCATTTTCGGACATTTCAATCATTCCTGATGCCTAAGATAGAGTCTAAGTTTTACCATGGAACTATAAACCCCAGGAAGAACAACCACTTTGTTTCCTTTGAACTATGATATTTGCCGCGATGTCGAATGTTTGTTTTGACTGTTTATTTCGTTGCATTAAAAAATAAGCCGATTTACGCAAATGAACGTTTATCTCCGATTATCGGTCATTTTCGGAGTCAATCGGGCGACTTCGGGAGATCATGTGATCAAGTTGTTTCGGTTATAGCATAAAAAACAATGGTGCCAAGACAAAAATACTGATAAATGAGTGACATTCAACGGGGAAAAAAAACACATTGCCACTTCTGGCGATCGAAGGGAAACACTGAATAAGTCGGGATATCTCGACAACAAACAGCATACGAAACCCCATGTTTCGCAAACTTTCGCAACCTTAGTTTTTCGAGGGTTGAAAAAAACAAGAAGTAATCTAAAAACGACATTGAAAATTATGAAAACTCGCTAAAACTCCGACCCGTTGCATGATTTCCGGTACACTGAAGGTCACCCTGCAGACCGACTTGTTTGCGCATGCGTAGTGAACGAAATATTTTACTGCGCAGATATGAAATTTTTTTTTCAAGTTTTCCGTTTCCAGCAAAGCGGTTGACAAGGGCATATCGGCGGCAACTAACATGGAGTATGATTAATGTTGTGGAAACAAAAGAGAAGGCACTGTAAGATAAACTAAGACAAAGGTTTTTTTAATCCTCTTAGTTTCGTTGTTCTTCCTGGGGTTTATAGTTCCATGGTTTTACCGTAGTCATTGACGCCTATTCAAGAGTATGATGTTTATTGTGACTAGCGTGAATGGGTAAGCTTCGTTTCGACAATGAGCTGTTATCACTGTAAACAATGTTAAATTATTCTTCACATGCTCAGTTTATTTTTTGAGAACAATTATTTAAAAATAAAATCTCTCAGTCAATCAGAAACTCTGATTCACGCCTTCAGGGAAAGTCACGTTTGGAGCTCACATCGATTTTGTTTTTCGTTCGGCGGGCTGATGCCTTCAGTGTAGCTTTTGCCTCTTCCAACATAGAAATCATCTGAATCTTCTTTCTACCTCTTTCTTTTCACACCACGCATAATGTAATGATAAAAATTAGGAAAAAACGCTGAGGAAATATGTTTGGTTTGCTAGCAAGCTATAACTGATTTGGGAATAATTGCACATGCGTGAATTGAATGAACTATGACCCGTACAATCTTGATTTGCATATTGTCAATCAAATGCCCTGTTATTTGATTACTCATGCAAATTAGGCAATTGGACATAAACATTGCCACGTGTGAGTGTTTTTTATTTTTAACCAGAAAAAAAACAGCAATTTTAACGGTGTTCCAATAAGAATTCATTGGTCAAATTTTCACAGAATGTTCTTTAGATAAAAATCTATATAAAAAACGAAAAAAACTATTTTTGATTGAAATTCACAAATAAACTGCATCTCTACCTTTGTAAACAACTACTAAATCGAGGTCAATGGATTTTCATCGCTGACTCAGTCAATGAGTTTTATTGACCACCACGTGTCCACGTTCTGACAACCATGTGACTGCGTTCTGACCAATCAATGTGACACATGAAGTATAATTACAAGTTATCACTATTTTGTTATTTTAATATAATTTGTAAGTTAGTCTGAACTGTTTCTGATGGTGTTCATTTGTCTTTTTTTCCACAGCCGCGCATAGAACAGTTGGGTAATTGGCCATGGTGTAGTCGAGAAGAGGGCGGCTGGGCAGATACAAGATTTCGCTTTACATGCACTTCTCTCAGGAGACCCCATCGATGTATAGGCTTTGCGAGGCGGAGAGTAGGTAGAGGTGGAAGGTAATACTTGTTGCTTGATTCATAATTAAATTCAACTAAAACATCTGACATTTAACTCTGCTGCTGTCAGTCTATGAACTTTCTACATTATTTTGGGTGATTCTGTTTTATATGCCATCATGTGCCTAAAGTGCTTTGTATTCTTGGCTCTTTTAAAACTGAATTATTTTTTATTTCAGAGTTTTACTAGATAGGGCGTACACACAAATGGATGAATATCTTCATCATCGCGACAATTCCTCATCACTGCCAAATGGTCTTCCTCTTAATGAAATACTTAGAGAAATCAAGGAACAAAGATTGTGAGTAGTTTAAATAATCTATTCACACCAACAATGAGCACTATATTCAGATCTATTGATCACTGTGTGTCTTTATTCTAGACTCAATCTATATGGTCAATGTTCTTAGAAAATGGTTGTCTGACTGAAAACACAGGAGTGTAAAAGTGATGTTTTAATATATGAAAATTGTGTATGATCCTGAAAGGGATAGATCTCGTTATAAACGAGAGCTCCACAAGAATTTTTTTAGCACCTGAAATAGTTCTCTCATGTTCGTTGTACCAAATGCTCTGTTCACATAGGTCTGAATGGAACATGATTTGAAAAAGTAAAGCATTGAAATCATGGCCGTCATTTTTGTCATAAGTTTATCTATTGAGCATATTTGTCCTGATTTATTGGTTGTTTCTTTGTAGGTTACACTTTAGACCAAGAACGCCGGAAAGGACTGATGAGTCACATAACTCCTTAACTGTGCCTGTCTCCTCTTCCTCGTCAGCATGTGCCAGCTTATCGCAGGAAGCTACAGGATTTAATGCAGAACAATTTCAAACGCACCAAGAACAATTAGTGCAAATGCAAAAACAACAACAACTTGAACAATTGAAACAAGAGAAATTAATACCGGACTCCTCAGTCAATTTAGGAGCATCGTTCTGTTCTCAGCCGACCTCAAAGTTTACGTTAGATTCAGCTACAGCCCATTTTGCAGTTTCAGCTTTAATCAACACAGATCAGTGCCCAAGTTTAGTTCAGCCCGTGGGTACTGCACGGACGATCAATCCAGGACATAGTATTCATAATAGTGCTGTATATGAACCAACACCAAAAGGTGAGATGAACCTAGGGAATACACCTGCTGTATTTCACTGTGATTTGACCAATGGGTTAAACCGACTGATTAGTTGCTAATCAGTTAATTGGTGAAATCTGATTGAAGTACTGCAGGTGTTGTTTCTGGTTGCATCCTTATCTTTTTTGCAAATGCTACATGGATTATGCTTGGAATTATCACACCAAAGAGTAAGTGTGGTCATCACATCACACTGGGCTTGTTTTAGGAGTCCTGTTTCTACATTTCTGAATCAAGGAAACTAATGGAGTTGCTGATACCTGCCTGAATATGAGTGATACTTTGTGAAATACATGTATGGAATGGAGCTTGCTGAATCACTATGTGTGCCTGTTGGAATATCCTCTGCAACTATATTACCATATAGTTTATTTTTCTTATTGAATATTCTTGAATACGCATTAGTTATTACCAATGAAGCTCGCAGAAAACCTGTGAAGTTTGGTCTACTACGTCTTAGTTTATGCGAGTACTTAGTGAGATGTTTCCTGTAGTAGATTTGTTATCTTAAATCATTACCTACACCTAATTTTTTCCACGGAAGCTAGCCGAGAGGAATTACCTGTCTATTGTTCCTGTCTACTATGTGTAGTCTATGAGAGGGGTTAGTGAGTTACATAAGCTGTCTATAATGCCATAGTATACTTGCCATTCTGCATATCATGGTGATTATGTATTTGTTGTCAATGAAAGTATAGCAGAGACAAATACCAATCTAGTATGTCTGCAGTTAACACAATCATCTATATTCTCAGTATGTACTATTAATTTCTGTTGAAAGTAGTCCTGTCAGATTCAATGCTTTTGTTAGTATAAACTTTCTTCCCCAGTATTTAAATGCACCTCATTCACAACCAAGACTGGACAAGTCTATTTTTCCAGTTATATAATATATTGTATATATACATTGATATATATATACGAAGTCCGAAAACGGGGGCTTATAATTCGGTCTCCGTCCGTCCGGAGTCATATCTCAGAATCCCTTGGACCGATTCCGTTCATTCTTTGCATGTGCCTAGTACTTTATGTAGGACATATGCACATGCAGTGGTTTAGCGATTTAATTCAAAATGGCCGACTGGTAGCCATCTTGTTTTTTGAAAATGTTGTATTTTGGACATGCTTTGTCAGTTTTCATTAAAACTTGGTACATAAATTATACATGTTAGGATACATGTCCATGACGATTTATTTCACAATTGGATCAAAGATGGCCGACCGGCAGCCATCTTGTTTTTTTGAAAATGTTGTATTTTGGACATGCTTTGTCAGTTTTCATTCAAATTTAGTACATAGATCATACATGTTAGAATACATGTCCCCCGACTGTCCGTGAGTTCCTGAATCTGTCTGTCCGTGTGTCCGTGTGTCAGTCTGTCCAGAGTCATATTTCAGAATCCTGTGGACCGATTCCGTTCATTCTTTGCATGTGCCTAGTACTTTATGTGGGACATATGCACATGCAGTGGTTTAGCAATTTTATTCAAAATGGCCAACTGGCAGCCATCTTGTTTTTTGAAAATGTTGTATTTTGGACATGCTTTGTCAGTTGTCATTTATTTAAACTTGGTACATAGATTATATACACGAATATATACGATTTATTTCGCAATTGGATCAAAGATGGTCGACTGGCAGGCATCTTTTTAGCTCCGCTGTCGACTTTGTCGAGCAGAGCTTATCATATGAGTGATTGTCCGTTCGGCGTCC